CGGTCAAGAGACATTTGACGCGCCTCAAAACCGGCGGCATTGCAACAGTGACCCTGACCCCGTTTGAATGTCTGCAAAGGTGTCTGGGACACAAATCTGGAGATCAATGACAGCTACCCAGCTGTGCCGGGCTTCAAGGCGTGGTGCACCTGATGGCATTGCGGTATATGGTACACTGTTACACGCGCTGTGGGTGTTGGCACGGTCGGAAAATCATTCCAACTTTTCCACGCGGCAGGCTAATGCCGCCAATTGTCCGTGCTAGGAATTCTGTAGGGATGTTTCAATGGCGCGACGTCGGGGAGAGGGGTTCGTGCAGTTAACATGTTTTCCAGGCGACATTTGCTAAGCTGCATGCCAGTTCCTAGCATCTGAAGCTGGAGAAAGGCACTTCTGAGTGGCCTTGCACAACTCTAGCCACAATTGCAACTCCTTTTGGGGACTCCAGGTCCTTGCTATTACAATGCTAGAACACATGGGGGCAGTGCTGTATGCAACAGGACTCGGTGGTCCTGCAAAACTCAGAATACTCTGAGACCCTGCCGCGCCGTGATCCCAGAAAGGCTCAGACTTCATGCAGAAATCCAGATCTGTGAGATCACAGGTGTACGAGATCTGTCCCCGTTTGGAGAGAAATAGGGGTTCTTTCTCCACCCAATCAACCCTAAACCCCAAACCCTGAACCCTGAACCCTCAACCCTAAACCCCTATAGTATTTTTTGTTTGACCAACCTCAGGTTCGGATGACCCCAGCCCCCCACAAGACAGTTCCCTGTCTAAGTAAGAGGGGTTAGGCCGCCCCAGGACCTTTTGCTATTTATATTTAGAGGGTTTAGGGTTTAGGGTTTGGACCTGATACAGATATCTGTAGATAGGGGATACTGGAGAATCAAATGGAAGAGAAAATCGAAACTGGAATGGAAACTGTGTTTATATAAGGGATTCATAGGGGATTCGGGTTTCCCAATACTACGGTTGTCTTTTGATAGGTCCCTATTACTATGATTAGAGTATTGTTGGTGTTTATCTTGGAGTCCTTTTATTTAAGGAAAACACCATACAGGACCTGATACTAGAGAGTCCAGGCTCTTGCTTCGGAAAGTGTTCGGACGCTTAACCTGCTGCACGTTTGCATAAGTAGTCTCTTGTTTTCCCAAGTGGGCGCTTCACAAAATTCTTTTTGGGTCCCTGTTCTGTTCTGTTAGTTTTCTGCGCGTGCTTTGAGCAGTTCACATGTAAGTGCAGGTTGACAAGCATGCCAGGTAGCATGTAACCTTCGTGTCTTCTGGGAGGGCTTGAATTCAAAGTCGTTCTCGACAACAAACGGCAGTGTGAAAGATGCTCAACAACCACCTTGGCACTCAAGATCCCCAATACTCAAAGCCAGCATCTCACATCTTCGGGGTAGTCTTGGCTTTTATGCAAGCCTTTATTGGGGCTCTTCAGAGCGCGCTTCCAAAATGTATCGTAATTCAATGACACGCCACGTACCTGCCTCGCACAAAGTTCTCAAGTCTCCATCCCTCCTTGGACCCCAAATCGCGACTGTCACCTGCGCAACTTCCACTCGACATCCAGCTTCAAATCTTTATTACCAAGTTCTGACACCCTGGCCCTAACTCTGAAACTTAGACTTCATCTCCCGAGCGCTCGGCTCTGAAGCACAGCAAGGATTGCGCGGTAAGCTCCCACCCGGTCCGCGGCTGCGGTCGGTTGCTGCCTTAGCCAGCGGATTAGGGTTCAGGATGAATGGAAACTACTATAATGGGGTTATATAGGGTTTAGGGTTACTATTATAATGGAGAATCAAATGGAAAAGAAAATGGAAAATGAAATGGACACTGGGTTTTATAGGTGTATGCACGCTGCGGAAGAAGAGTTTGTGACTTTCAGCGCTTTTTACCTCTTAAGAGAACATGCGCTGCCAATCCCAACACCCTGTGCTGATGAACAAGTAGGTCTATGTTTTAGACATGTGCGAGACCCTTGGCCTTAGGTCTGGGCTTGCAGTATCATTGCGACCTTCAACATGAAAAAGGAGCACGAGTAGCTGTGAGAGTGACACTAACCTGAACCCAAGCCATGGATGCTCAGGTAGTCTGCAGGCCTTAGAAATTAGAGGGGCTTTATTGAGGATCAGGTAGCCCCTTGCCGGACCAAAGAACCCCATTAACCCCAACGTTTCTATTTCATTTGGTATTTTCTTTGCCATTTGATTCTGCTATTGGGTAATACCCCTAAATAGCCCTATAACCTCCCTGCTTCCATTTCATTTTCCAATTTCTTTTCCATTTGAAACTCCATCAGTGTGATTATACTCCCATGTTCCCTATTATACCTAAACTCTAAACCCTAAACCCCAAACCCTAAACTCTAAGCCCCAAAATCTAACCCGAAACCCCAAAACTTCAACTCTAAAGCCTAGCCTAAACCTTAAACCCTAAACCATCCTAGACCCTAAACTCTCTAACATGCACCAGGTGCCTACCTTCCGCGCTGCGGAGTCGGAGACCATGCAGGGCGAGCCGCAACTCAGTTTTAACATCTGGGACCAGCCACTCCCTTGAGCTCTAAGTCTATATGGGGTTTAGGGTTTAGAGTTTGGGGTTTATAAACGGTACTCGCATAGGGCCCCAACATGAATGAACAGTACTCACTTTGGGCCCCGAAGTCCCAGGGATTGGAATCATGATAGGAAGTCTGAGAGTAGTAATCGTATGACCTGCGAGTTCAGCACCGGTGGTCAAGAATGAGGGCTGGATTATTATGGTTTTATTCAAGTTTGCCTTGTCTTTGCACGAAAGATCTTTGACGGGAAGCTTTGCTTCTCAGACTTCCCGCGAAGCTGCACGTTTGGTTCCAACACGGCCAGTGTCAAGGAGAAGACGACATTCACAGTTGTGCAGGAAGCTTGAAAGGGTGTTTTCTGGAGTCTGTCAAAATAATAGGCCTACCCCTATACTATGCCAGTTTCCATTTCAGTTCCATTTTCTTTTCATTTCATTCTCTATTATTGGGGGGAATATCCCACCCTAAACCCTTTCCTGGTGGCGATTTGCGAAATAGTCATATTGGACTTGAACCCTCGTCCTGGAGCAACATGACGTGTGATCTGAGGCTTTTGATCGGGACCCTGATGCATATCAAGCTGGAGGCCATGGAAAAAGCATGTAATTGCAACCCTCGCGTGACAGACGCAAAACATGGACAAGCAGCATTTTCAAAACAGAAGCTCGCTGCCCTGCACCGCTTATGAAAACTGTCCGGTGGTAGAAATGCCAGGGATCATGGAATGAAGGCTACGGTGACTACCGCTCATTGGTAGAGATGGTCAATTACAGCAATTTGTCTGGAGTTCACACAGGGCCTTAAAGGCATCGAGCTGTCCTTCTGTGGAGCGCATGAGCCCTGCCAGTCTCCCCCGCCTTTGTGGAAGGAGTCCGTACAGCAGATGACGATCACACTTTACGCGCCAGCCTTGGATTCCAGGGTTACGGCGTGAAAAAGCGTTCCAGCTCCTTCTTGAGATGCTTGTGAAACGCTGTGGGGCCCAGAGACAAACAGTACTGATCCAGATGCCCAGAAACATTCAAACTTTACTTTTGGATGGGATGGCAGTGCTTCATTGAGCACAGAAGCATCCTTCCTTGAGGCCTGAAGGAAAGGACTTGACCGCAGATGGTCCTGAAGTCTCCTGAATTCGTATGAGATGGATTTCTCAAGACCCCGGGCCTCCCTCTGGGTTATTGAAGTGGTGGTAGAGCGTGGCCCCGAAGTGTGAGCCACACCTACGAAAGACTTACTGGTTCTTGAGTAGGAATAAGGAAACCTACAGCCCCCTGAAGTAGATAGAATATGGGGTAAATGGGGATCTTATTATACTATATCCAAAACCATATTCTGTCTACTAAGGGGGGACTATAACCCCAATATGTGCCCTATTATTGTAGCAGTTTCCATTTTCTTTTCCATTATACCTATATAACCTCAATAATATACCCCATAATCTATCTACTTAAGGGGGACTATACAATGGAGCCGAACAGGTTGCCATGATCCAAGTTCTGGACCTCTACTTACTGGTTCTTAGTATTGGTGTTATGTAGGGATGATGGAAAAGAAAATGGAAACTACTACGCTGGGTTATGTAGGGGTTGTATAAGGTAGAAAGGGTTTTATAGGGGTTATGTAGGGACAATGGAAGAGAAAATGGAAAGCTATAGTATAATAGGGTATATATTGGGGTTATAATAGTAGAGCAAATGGGAATAGATTATCTAGGGTTTGATGTAGGGATTCCCTTATTCCCTACGAAGAACGAGTAAGTCTAGACAGCACTTGAGGCTAATGGCTTCTCGATGTCTCCGCTTGCTGGAGGCTGTTGCCATCTGATGCCTGTGGATAGTTGGGGGTGATTCAGGGCTAGAACCTCTTTCCGATGAAGCCATCCAAATCTCACGCTGCAACGAAGCCACGTTGAATCTGTTACTCTTGGAGGAATTGAATCCTGTCTCTGTTCAGGGGTTCGGGAAGGTTCGCTGTGCTTGCTCGTAGTCGTGGCCCCCAAGCCACGAGTCCCAAGCTACACCAGAAGTCGTAAGCATCAAGCCTCAACCTCGAAAGCTTCGACTTACAAGCCCCAGAAGCTCCACAACATGGCGAAATCCTGCAGCGCAAACCTGGGACTCTCGGACCTAACCCCATGAATACAAAAACAACTGGTCTAGGCAGCGATGCTCGGCGCATAAATAGGGCCTGGTCGCCCTTTTCCCTGGTGGAGAAGTGCCAGGCTCATCAGAATTTTCCAGCGTTGCAGCATCTTGAGGCTGACTTTTTGATTCTCCATCATGGGGATAACATCCCTATATCACCCTTATGTAACCCTTATAGAACCCTATATAATACCTATAGAACCCCTACATAATCCTTCTAGAATCCCCATATAATTTGTATAGAAAGGCGCTGAGGCCTGTTGGAGTGCCTGGCCCTGTGAGAGCCAGGTAAAGACCTTGCAGCACTCGGCCTACTGGGCCGTTTTCAAGCTAACGGCCTGGGCCTCAGCCTTGTGCGAAGGGCAAAACCTGCCCATGACTGTCTGATTTTTTGGTAGTTTCCATAGACAGGGGGACCCCAATATAGAGACCTCAATACTATAGTCCGTATTGTTGAGACCCCCAGAATGACTTGCATACCTAATTTGGGAAATGGCTGTCTCCGTATAGTAAACTGGGATGTGTGTTTGATGCGGCGGCGGCCAATGACAGGGCTTGGAGTTGCCGGCTGCACGTTTTCTTCTTTTTGTTGCGCTCTTGGTATTTTTGCATATGAAAGACAAGAGTTCTTTGCTTTTCCTGAGCCATCCTACTACTGCTGTGTGGTTGCATGTCGGCCCTGCAACCGCCTGCAGGGCCTGGGCCAACAGGGACACTGAACTAGAGCGCGCCGCAAGTAACGGATGGTCTCAGATTCGGATTTCCGCAATTCGTAAAATCCCTATTCTGCGAATTTGATTTCAGACAAATGTGTGGGACGGCTCTGTAGAGTTTGCTTTCAGACATGGACAAATCCAGGTCTTCCGAGCAGGCGGGCATGACCTTTGCCTCTACTTCGCCTGCACGGGAGGCAACGCCTACAAGGACTGCTACACCTGGGGCAAAGCGGGGGTTCCCGAAAATTAGGGGCTCCTGTCTGGGAGTCCCTATAATTAGGATTATCGCATTTCAGGATGCCTGTTGGGTTCCCCCACTTATGGAAACTCCCGACTCTGACGGTCAAAAAGATGCGCATTGCAGGATCGGATGAGTTTTCTCTGCAAAAAAGCATTTTTGCACATGATATGGCTCGGGTTGTAGACAAACTCTAAACTCTAAACCCTACGGTAAACCCCAAACCCGCTGAAACTGCTTGCGCTGCTGTTGATGACAGCTAGAGCAGTTTGGCAGAGCATTGCTAGTGAGTGCAGCTGGACATCAAAGAAGGTGGCAGTGCTTGAGGTGTGCTGAGGGGCCGGCTGTAACTTTTCCTCGAGATTTTCCTGCTTTAATCCGTGGGAGAGTCCTGCTGTAAGGGTAAGCAGTATGTGACTGATCCTTTTTGTCCCGGATGCTTTGGCACTGGCCAGTGTAAGTCTCGTTCTGTATCTCCAGGCTGAAAGGTTCTGAGAGGGAGCAGGGACTGTGGGGCTGCGGCCTTGTCAGCTTTGCATTTCATCAAACTGTGCTGGTGGGAAAAGGTCCGAGAAACGTAACCTAAACCCTTAACCCCCAAACCCTACAAAACCCAAGCCCTAAATCCTTAACCCCCAAACCCTACACCATTAATCCTAAACCCTTAACCCTCAACCCTTAACCCAAAATCCTTAACCCAAAATCCTTAACCCAAAATTCTTAACCCAAAATTCTTAACCCAAAATCCTTAACCCAAAATTCTTAACCCAAAATTCTTAACCCTAAACCTACTTTGGCGAGGAGCGCGACCGGTGGGTTGAGAAGATGGGCACCTTGGTGAGCCAGGCCGGGCCCCCAAGGGTTTAGGGTTTAGGGTTTGGGGTTTAGGGATTAGGGTTCAGGATTAACGGTTTAGGGTTTAGGATCAAGGGTTTAGGATTAAGGGTTTAGGGTTTGGGGTTAAGGGGGGTTATATAGGGATTATTTAGGGGTTGTATAGGGATGTCGCCCAGTCATGAACAATCAAATTGACAAGAACATTGACAATGTACTGGAAGCTGCGTATTATGTAGCAATTACATGGGGATCCCCCCCAAATCCATTATAGTACGGCGCCTATAGTGGCGTTCCGCACATTTTCCTGCCTATCTCAGAATAGTGATTCAGGCCAATCCTCAAACAAGACCATTGGGATGTCCCAATAATTAATGGAGAGTGAAATGGAAAAGAACATGGACCGCAACATGGAAGCTGGATGATTATAGTTATAGTGGTTTATAGGGTGTAGGGCCAGGTTGGAAATCATCCAGTCTCAGAACCGGGAAATATGCCACAGTCTCTGATATTTATTAGTACTTAGTATGGACGCCATTAGCTCGTAGTTTGTTTACCTCGCCGCAAGGCATGGATAGAGGATAAGAGACTGAGAAGTTTGGACTGTAAACCTCTCTGAATCAGTGATTCCCGGGCATTCGCTAGCACCACAACAGCCGTTGTTGTTGCGAGATGCTTAAGGCCAGCTTTTCCATTTGAATTTTCATTATGGGGTAACGTCCCTACATGACCCCTACATTATCCCTATACAACCCTTATACAATCCTTATTTAACTCCCCTAGACCCAATGTTCAGGTGACCCGGTCACTCTTTCCACCGTCAGACATCAAGGTGCCGGGAAGAGTTGACATTCCAGGGCTTGGCTTACTGGGGGTTGGTAGGGAATAATGGAATATATGTATATATATATATATGTAAGCAAATATACTCCTTTTTTTACATACACACACACACGTTATAAAGGGATTATATTCCCTTTATCCCTACTAAGCCCCAAGTAAATTGGGTAGCACTCTAAATCTGAAAGTTTGCTCTGGGAGACTGTAAGTCTTCATGTTTGTGCAGAATGCAGTTAAACTGCTATATTTAGTTTCTGGGTTTAGGGTTTAGGGTACACGATGTACTTATCCGCTTGTGATCGGCGTGGATGAGAACGACTAAGTGAAACCGCAGATTCGCAACACCTAGCTTAGCTGACCCAAAGAACTTACCGGTTGCGCATCCATTTCCTGTGGCCTGTGCCACGTTATTATGCAATGGTTGTTATGTTAGCTTTTCATTTGGGAGGCTAAAGGTCCCATGGATTGGTTGGTGCAACCTGGCAGGTTCAACCCCTACCGGGAATAGAGTCGACCTCCACTCGGATTCTGGCGCCTCGGCGGGATTTTTTGGTTTGCGGTTTAGAGTTGCGTGGTATTGGTAAGCTGCCCTCTACAGGCGTGGGGTTCTCTTTTTGTCTTCGTTCTAAAGTCCTGCGCTTGGAGCATGGCTGTTGGAGACCGATGTCTCGAGAGGCGTCAGACAAGGTGCTTCTTATATGTGTGAGCTTAGCGTGGATGTTCAGGGGCTAGTCTGAGTGCTTGGCGTTACAGCCGCACGCTATTCAGATCACCCAAGACTGCTCCGCACAGGAGGTGCATACATCTCAGGATGGCATCTAACATAGGTTGCCAGAACCCTGGCAAAGCCCAACGCGTAACACGAAACAGTTCTTTTGTCAGCGAAGGCCGGCTTCCTTCTCCAGGGCTGCAACATGGACACCTGCCAGCTGGTCTATGCCGAGCTTCACGCGTGCGCGGGAGCGAGCATAAGGGGTTACATGAAGAAGGACCTGAAGTCTCCATCAAGAACAGCTAACAGCACCACCGCTGTCTCCGCTGGCCCGCCACCATTGTCCCGCCATCAGCGTCACCACCAGGACTGTAAGACCATTGCGTAGCGAGCATCACCACTACCAGCACAAAGGCTTTGTGCCTGGTTGCTTCATGTGAAGCTTGTGAAGTTTGGCCTGAGGTACGTGGCAGGCGAGGCGAAGCTCATCCTTTACAGGGACGAGTGGTGCGACAGGGAGGCAGAAACAGAACTGCTTGAAGCCACCCTTTTGACCATTCAGAAAAAGTTTTCTTTGTTCCTGGGGCACATCAAGGGTTTTTCTACAGGTTAGAAAAGACCAGAGGAGGATTTGAGATTGCAGACCTGGACGGCTGCCCTGCACCCAATGCACAGCGTTTTTGATTCCATGGCTGATGTCATTGCAAATGCAGCTGCGCAGTTGTTGACGATCATGCTCTCCAATGCATCCACCGCGGGGGCCTTGACCCAGCTGAAGGTCGCCTCAGCTGAGTAGTGAGTCGGGCTGTGAGATTCGGAGTTGCATTTTCTGGGAGGAACAGGGACCGTTTGCCGGACCATGGTGCTTCTCAGAACATTTCCAGCGCGCAGGATGAAGCCCGCATTTTGCCTGCGTCAAGGTCAGCACCCGATCCGGCGTCCACTGCAACGTTTTCGGCATAGATCAGCCGCGCTCCCGGTTTGCTCATGTCTAGTGCCATTGTACAGCATGCATGCTATCTTTCTTCAGATGTCTCCCACATGCTCTCCAACTCGCCTGCTAAGCCCAACAGCTAGTTTCGCAGCTGCCAGGGAGGGTCACAGGAACTCGAACTGAACTCGAACTGTAGTTCCCGACTGAAATCGATCTAAACTGGAACTCGAGCTGAACTGGAACTGGAACCCACCTCCTCCCGGCAGCAAGCAACCTTTAGATTTCGAACTGAACTCGAACTGAACTGGAACTCGAACTGACCTCAATCTCCCTCAAAAATATCTGTAGACTCCGCAATGAAATCGAACTAAACTGGAACTCGAACTGACCTTGAACTGAACTCTACCCACCCCCCAAAACAATCTTTGGATTTTGCACAGGACTTGAACTGAACTCGCTCCCCCCCTCATTGCGCCATCCACGTCTTCCTAATCTGCTCAAGAGCTGTGGTCTTATCTTGAAAACATTGCAACTGCGAACTCGAACTGAACTCGAACTCGTTGCCCTCCCCCTTCCTCCACGGTGCCATGAACTGCGAGTTCTGAACCTTAATTCTCCCCCCAAAAAGCACCGGGATTCTGCGCCTTTATGCACGCACTCGAACTGAACTCGAACTCTTAGCCCTTCCCTTCGTAGTTGGCCATCTAGAACCGTGCTTGAACAGATCCTGACTTCTTCACTTATTTCTCATGAAAACGAACTCGAACTCTTCACCCCTTTCCGTAGGAACCTACTCTGGAACTGTTCTCGAACTGCTCACGAACTGTTCCCCTCCTGGGGTACTTACTGTGTCGAAACGCAAAATTCACAACTTCGCAACTTCGTTTGCAGTGTGATCCCGAAAGGCTGGCAAGCGTGCTTTCGCCTCTGGGCATCTCTGAGCCGCTGATTCTCCAAGAAGTTTCGCACTTGGCTCAGCTTGATGCAGTGGACCGTTGCTGCTTGGGTACCTCCTGAGCTACTGAGCTGCTCCGGCTTATCTTGGCACAAAGGCCGGATGAAGCCCGGCTTGTGCTGGTGGTGCAGTGTGAGGCATTCACCGTTCTGGCATTTCGCATGTTTCAGCATGTCTTGCAACACCAGGAGCCGAAGGAGAAGGACTTATGCCAACTGAAAGAGGCAAGTGCTCTATGTTTCCTGCAACTTGTGCAGGTTTCGGTTTAAGGCAACAACACTGACAGTATGCTGGTGACACGTTTTCGAGTAGGTGACCTCTGCAGACTCATCCCGCAAAAGGAATGTTGTCTACTGTCGATGCACCCTGGCAAGCAGGTTCTGGCCTATCGAGATCCACCTCTTGTAGAGGCCGCCATAGGATGCAGACGTGGAAAGTGGGTTTGTACCACGCTAGTATCCACTGTGAGGTCTATGACGTTGTTGAGTCCGCTCGCCCAGTTGCACACGAAGCAGCCACAACAACATTAGATGTCCAGTCAGTCCAGCTGGGGACACCCAAGGTATGGTCGGCAGTTCTACCGGTCCCTGGCCTTCTGCTCGGACAGTAGCATGTAGAGTTGGTTGCGGTCATGGCTGGCGCAGCCTTTTTTGCACGTAAACATTATGGATGGGTTCGGCTGCAACACGCAGTGCATTTTTCTTTGTATTCGCACGCGTTAGCCGTAACAGCTGGGGAGGACAGCAGATGGGGCTTCTCCGTGCCACAGGAGGGAGCTGTGAGAACCAAAAGAAAGTGCAAATGAGTTGCTGCACGCTGCAGCACGGTCAGGACGGCGAGGTCCCTTTGTACCGCAACGAGACCTGAGCCCAGGGATGAGCACCTCTGTGTGGGGCTGTTGAACTCCAAACTGAGGACAGCAACCTGGAGCCTGGCAATGGGGACCATGGAGAACTTTTACAAGTAGTGGCCTCTGGTGCTCAGAGCGTTCGCTCGCGTAGCAGTTTTTGAGATTTTCGAGATGATGTTAGAGGATGAAAGCTGACGCCAGGCCTGCACCAAGTCTACTGATCTATCGATCAGTAGTTACCGACCTGGGACGGCAACTTTACGTCGCTCAGCAAGTTTGACGCCATGTCGCCCACGTGAGGACAGATGCATAACTAGCCACCAGCTTCTTCTGCAAAAAGGTCCCGCCTCGCTTCTTGCATGGCTTGCTGCCCACCGTTTTGTTGGAGCCAGAGCCTTATAACTTGGGCATGGGCCGGTAATGTACTGGCCAAGCCGAAGCCGCGATCAAATCAGTGCAGGCGCTACAGCTTCTGGCGGTCTGAGGAGCCTTCAGATGGAGCAGGTGCGTCCGGCGAACTGTGTGCGGCTAGTTGCGCCGGATGCAATACCAGGTCTTCTGACTGGCGATGAGCTTCAGCAATGCGATAGCCCAACGCGGCTTCAGGTAGGCAAAGCTGCTGAGAAAGCTGCGGACACCTTCTCTGTCACTATGCTTGCGTAGGTGAAGCTGCAAAGGGGCAAGCTGGGAGTCACCGCCACCATTCGGCGAATTTCTTTGAAAGCTTCACGAGGCTGTCCTGTACTCCAGCTTGGTGCAGGTAGAGAAGCATCTGCTACGAAGTTACTAGTAGCTTCTACACACATCATAAACGACTGTGCGTGGTCCCCAAAAGAAATAGGGAGTCCTGGTCCTTGGTTCGTCTCCAGTCTTTAGGCAGTTTGAGGGGATACTTTCCCGAGGAAAGTTGAGGGGGTAAGATTTCATTTTAAAACTCTGAGACGCTGCAGGCCCATACTATACATGGGAAGCTGATGACTCCAAGCCTCCTGAGGCAACAAACTCAGTCAGCAACACATGCCGTGTATGCCACGAATCAAGCTCCTGCAATTAGAACTTGGTCGCAGGTTCTGGTGAATCTGCGTAGCGGCTCATCTCGAAAGCTGGCATCACTTCTTGCACGTATTGAGGCAGTACTGAAAGCGAGCCAGCTTGTGGCTTCCTCATTGCTGCCTGCAGGACCTTTCGCACATTCTAGTTTGGGGCGCTGAGAAAGGCCAGGAACCTGTATGTAATTACACAAAAAGTTTGAAGTGATGCAGTTTACGCCAGGTGGGAGCATTCGCCGGGCTGAGTTTCCCAGGCTCTGGCTGTCCTTCCAGGATAGCCAGATTCATTGAATGCTGCATGCAAGTCACATTCTGATGGAATTTCCGAAAGGAGGAGGGAGGGAATCTTCATTGCGAACAGCACAGCCGGGCTTCGCAGAATTCCTTTGTCCCTTCGACAGTTGACAGTCTCGACAGTGCAGAAAAGGTGGTTTTTGGCTGGCCAAGAGGAAGTGGTCAAACAAGGCCTGGTATCTGAAGTTTCCGGACACGACGAGCACGAAGTGGCCAAGGTCTGTCTGCTTCTGCAGCAGTCAGGCACTTAGCGGCTTAGCTTCCTTCAGAGTATCCTGGCTCCGAACAGTGCAAACCGCGAGGTTTGGAGGCGGAACCCTTCTTTTGGAGAACGCAGTCGGTGAGTACGCCATCCTGGTATCTGCTGCGGCTGAGCCCGTGCGCTGCCAAAGACATATGCGATCATTGAATGGCTTTTCTTGAGCTATCCCGCATGACACCATGATGATCAAAACTAGGTACGCCCTGCAGCGTGGGCTGCTGATGGAACCCCTGAGAAGCTGTTGCCCGGGCAGCTTGCGCAACTTTGCTGAGCATGGACGAATCATAACCAACTTCCATGTTGTAACTAAGACAAGAAACTCAGCACCAGCACATGTCTGCGAATCGGCTGCTTGGCATTGCTCTGAGCTCCAAGGTTTCGTTGTGGTCGCGAGGAGTGGCTGCAGAATTTGGATGGACCGCGCCACTACAGGCTCCAAACGATGCAGTCCGCTGCACAGAGAGCAGGCTGCTGTTCTCACAGGTATGACGTGCACTTCTCAGAGATGTTCACCTTCACCCCTACGCTTGCTGCTGGCCCCTGGATGCAACAGCACGCGTGCCAGCTTCCTTACCTCACTCTCCCTCAACCTGGCAGGTCTGTACTTCTTGCTTTGTCAGAGCCTCATATCACATGGCTTCGCTGGCACAGGGCAGTGAGTTGAAAAGTGCCAGGCCGCTTCATGACCTGGCATTTTGCTGAGGTGCCTTGGCTCGAGCCAAGAGTAGCAGAAAAGCCAATTGCATTCTGATTCAGCTGAAGGCGGTCACCATGGCCGAAACTCTCACTGAAGCTTGCACGAACGAGGCCTGCTGAATCTGCACCTGCTCCAGCTGATGGCCTCAAAAGATGTTCATCCTTCAAGCAGCAGCGAAGGAGAAGCAGCTTTGGAACGCGATGAAAGCGCTGGATGCTGACTGCCACGCTGATGCTATCGCCTGTCGGTTACACTTGTCTTTGGCAACACTGCCATGTTTTTGACATCTCCTTGCGGCAAACATCTCAATGCAAGATGTGTGCCGGACTTTGTTTCCAGGCAATGGCACCATTCGGCACACCGCTCTGCTGCCATGTTTGCTGACCAGTGACTGTGTGCAAGAGCCAAGATTTTCACGGGCAGCGTCAAAGTAGTTTGGTTCCCAACGAATGCCGTGGTGATGGGATGCGGGTGTCCAGGAATCTTGGGCACCTCAGAGTGGGTAAACGGAATTTCTTGACCGAGACTGCGTTTCGGGTATGAGCCAGCCGTACGCAATCAAGGCCTACTGTATTGGACCCTTGAAGGCTTCGAATCACAGAAAGCCAACAAATCCATCTAAGCACCCTTACAGTCGTCTTCCAAAAAAAGGTACGTATTATTTCGTTTCGAACATCCCGACCCTTCCCTGTTTGCGGTTGCGGAGCATCATCAACTACTTCCAGCAACAATAATTATCATCAGCAATGTGATTC